AGTCAATTTAATTAATAAAAAAAATTTTTTTCTTATGACGCTAATGTATGTATTATTATTCCGATTTTGGTAAAGTCGGTCATTTTTGCTAGGTGAGTGTACAAGTACCTACAAATAGAGAAAATTAAACGGAATACACGGCAACGAGTTTTGCAAACTAAAGTCTAGAAATAAATAAAGTATAAATTTTAAGTTTTATAAAAATAAATATTTAAATATAAGAAGTATCTAAATTACATGTATTTTGAATAGTTCTATTTCGGTTCTGCTCATCGTGCACATAGCTCCTCAAGAAAACAAAATCGACGGGAAAATATTTCGTGTAAAAATTAAAGTCGGAATGGCAAACATACCATTAGGCCATTATCTTTGGTTTTAGGATCGGTAGAGTAGTATTCTTGTCCCTCATCCTTCACCTTTGATAAAATTGAAATTTTCAAAATAAAAAAACTTACCTTTATTTGATAGACTTTATGCACAGAGTCGAGTGTTAAGATTATAAAAGTAACGATTCCTCCAGTTGCTTCAACTGCTAAAAACAAAATAATATTTTGATGGATTTTTTTTTTGTGAAGTTCCCGACGCACTCTTGTGCAACATGAAGGGTTCTCTGATCAGATATTTCATCTTATTTTTAAAAAATAAAGATATAATTTAATTAAAACAAAAATGTAGGCTATAGTAGCAAGTTTTTTATTTTAAATCAAATTGACGAGACGCGAAAAATAGATCAAATGACTTTAAACATATCCCAATAAATTTAAATCAAAAACACGTTTTTAAGATCGATCCCATAATCTCGTTTTTTCTATAAATTTAATTCAATTTCGATAGATGATCGGTACTTTTTTTTTTTTTATTTTTATTGCGACATTTACTATGTACATATTGATGGTATGGTGTACTTGGTTCTTAGTCATGGGCGCACACTAGGCACAAGCCTGTATTCAACATGTAACTATCATAAGTAGATGGTTTAAATTCGTTATACTTTCTAATAATTGTTGGAATGGAATATGTCCTATCAATTTAATCAATTTATTTTTATTTAACAAATTACAAAAATAACGATACGTATTTTTTTATTTTCATTTTTTTAACAAATTATTATTATAATAAACAACAAAAAAAATAAATGAAGAGCACTATGTAATACTAAAGTGATACACTGTTTACAAACAAGGAAAAAACTTTATATCGCGTCCCGCGTTTTTTTTTAAACATCACTTTAGGGCGCGATACTAATATATTACAATTTAAAAATTATTTTTTATAACAAGCGATGCCTTAATATATCACTTTATTAAAATAATTGCTATTACATGATTTTTTACAATAAAAAAATTTTAAGTTTGTTGTTTTTTATGAAACGCCGCATTATGACCTGACTGTCCACATACACGACATTTATAAGTATTCGGCTTGAATTACCACTTTGTATATTATTACCTTCTCCTTTTTCTTGCTCAGTGCAACTTTTATCATTTAGTTGGAGGACGACATTTGGTTTAAATTTTTGGTGGATTTTGAATATTTGCAAGTCCTTGAAGTACATGATTATCATCAGTTGGTTCATTAATAAAAGGTATTTCTATTTCACTTCGCTCATTCTGTTCTAAACTTATCTCCTGGTTTTCATTCTCATTTTTTTCTAAACTCACATTCTGATTTTGATCCTCATTATTTTCTGAACTCAAATCAAGGTTTCGTTTCTTTTTATTGAAAAAAAGAAACTATAAAAAAAGCATTTTAATTTCTAATGATGTCTGACAATAAAAAAAGTAGACAAAGATGATAAGTATGATGCTTAGCGTAGTTGAAATTAAAGTTTGAGCTATATAATAAAAGTTTCGATTTCAACAAAAAATCGACATCGGCTAGATTAACTTTAATAGTTTTTGTAATAGTAGAACATAAAAGAAATAAAAAGATCAACGAATCTTTAAAATATTGCAAAACAGTTCCTTTTACAAGAACCTCTGAAATAATTGGTTTTAATCATAATACATGAAAATAAACATTAAATTTGTTTCTTTTAGAAATCTTTCAAATACTGTACTCGAAGCAATTTAAAAGTACATATTTCTGTATTAAGTTGTTATATCTCTTATTTAATTTATTTTAAATAAGAAAAGAAAGACGGACGTTTAATACGTCGTATCGATGGTAGATTACGGATTTAAAGAGGTAGTTTTCTTCTCCATTTTATTGCGAGAGGAAATTATTCTTAAAATTCGTTAGTGGATTAATAATTCCAGCCTTATTTTCGTTATATTTGAAACTATATATTAAATTTTAATCTTTCATTACGTTGATTTACTTAATAAAATCATTAATTCATAAAGTAAAATAATATTTATAAATTATCTATTTTAAAAACAATGAATGAAATCGTGGCAAAAATTTCCATAATTTTTCTTAAATATTCGCTTAGGGTAAAATAAAACAAAATTAACTTTCAAGTATTATATCCAATAAAGTTTATCATGCGGACACTCCACAAAGAAAAATATGAACAAAGAAAAAGATTAAAGATTATATTGAGTTTTTAAAAATTGAGGGCTGATATCCGCTAAGGAATCGGGTAAATTTGGTAAGCTATTTATTTTGGTGTTATAACATTTGAGTTCCATCAAGGAGTTGGGTAAAGTTGGTAGAATTATTATTGGAGTAAAAGAGCAATCAAGTACCGTTAAGGAGTTGGGTAAAGTTGGTAGGATATTTATTTGAGTACTAGAGCAATTAAGTTCCATTAAGGAGTTAGGTAAAGTTGGTAAGCTATTTATTTTAGTGTCATAACATTTGAGTACCGTCAAGGAGTTGGGTAAAGTTGGTAGGATAGTTATTGGAGTACTAGAGCAATTAAGTTCCGTTAAAGAAAAGGGTAAAGTTGGTAGGGTAGTTAATGGAGTATTAGAGCAACTAAGTTCCGTTAAAGAAAAGGGTAAAGTTGGTAGGGTAGTTAATGGAGTATTAGAGCAACTAAGTTTTGTTAAGGAGTTGGGTAAAGTTGGTAAGCTATTTAAATGAGTTTCATAGCATTCAAGTACCGTTACGGATTTGGGTAGAGTTGGGAGGATAGTTATTTTAGTTCTATAACATTTGAGTACCGTTAAGGAGTCGGGTAAATTTGGTAGGATTTCTATTTTATTATAAGAGAACAAACCACCAGAGCAATCAAGTTCCGTTAAGGAATTAGGTAAAGTTGGTAAGTTGGTAATTTGAGTACTATCACAAGTGAGTATTTCTAATTTTCGATATTTTTGCAATCCGCCTAAGGCATTTAATATGTCATCCTTATTTGTATTTGTAATGGTTAAGCTAACAACAGTATCATCATAAATAAATGATTCAAAGATTATGATCCTTTTTTCTAATTTATTGATAATTTCTTGGTTGTCTTTGATTATTTCTTCTCGTTCCATAACCTTTACTTCTAAATTATTTATAGTTTCTTGCTTGGTTTTTGTTTCTTCTTCTTCTTGCTCTTTAATCATTTCTTCTAAATTATTAATAGTTTCTTGCTTTGCTTTGGTTTCTTCTTCTTGCTCTTTAATCAGTTCTTCTAAATTATTAATGGTTTCTTCTCGCATTTTAAACTTTTCCTCTAAATTTTTAAATTGTAAACGTAACTCTTCGTCACTTTGTTCTAACTCCTTAATTCTAGTTTCCAAGTTTGTTAGAGCTATTTCTAAATTTCTTCTTATAACCATTATGTAAATAAGAAATTTTTACAATTGTTCAAAGGATAATATTCACTTTTTATATAAGGACGTTCAGCCCTCGGTTTAAATTTTTCCCATGACTTAATGAATTTCCATAAATACTCTATTCTTCGGATGTTTTAAAATAGAGGTTGAAATCGGTTAATTTTTAACTCGTTAATTAACTGGTTTAAATGGTTTAACATGACATGTTAACTGGTTAACAAATATTTTAACCGGTTATTAACCGGATATAGATTTTTAGCCAACCTCTATTTTAAAGGATCTAACCCATTCTTGTAATGGATCGTCGGTGAATATTTATTTACCAAATATATTTTTTTCTATTCAAAATTAACTTACAAATATTTTAAATTATATTTTGCAACTGTCAAGAATGCATTATTTGATGTACTTTATGTAGTTGTTGTTGTCGTAAATGTGATAATTAATATAATCAATAATAAATTGTACTAATTTTTAATATTAAGTCGAATTATGAATATTTAAAATTTTACTATTATAAAATAATCAAAATTATACTATTAAAATCACTTCACTCTGCAAGCATTGTTGTAATTTCGCTATTAAAATCACCCTATTAGGACATTGTTACACTAATTTTATAATACTTAATGTCGTTTGAAATTACCAATAGTGAAAGAAATCCACAACTTATATAATAAACGTGGTCATTTTGCTCAAGATTGTGATGACACTGATTATAGTGATAGAGATAATGGTTATAGTTATCAGTAACAGTGACGGTAACGATTCATTTTTAGCTGAAAATTTTTATCGATAACTATCAATTGTTTATTCACTTTTATGTTACATTGATAATCACGTGATAACAAATTTATTTTATAAATCGAATTCAAAATAGAGAATAATGAATGTTAAATATTCTTGTCATTAACGTCTTTACCTGTTGCTTCATATATGCAATTTTGATAACAAATTTAATATGAAATTAAAAAATGAACAACTCGATATCGCTGGCGCAATACTTTAGATTATTCCTTCACAGTTTTATATTCCCTGAGCCAAGCCAATCAACAAGCAAAACAGAAACTTGTTCTAGATTATAATATTAGCATTAGTAGATTACAAATGTGCAATACAATGACAATAAAGCATAACTCTTTTTAAAAATTGCTCTTACGTTTGAGCATTTTTGCCTTTGAATTAGTTGAATAAATAAAATAATATTAATTTTGGATCACGCGTTTCTATAAATCGAACAAATTCATCTGACTAATATTCATGCATATTCCCATGTATAAATAAATAAGTACTTTCCATGTGGGTCTAGAATAAAATTGTTCAAACGCTGAAGACGCTTCAGAATTCATATATTTACCCTCGACTTTATTTATAAAAATTAAAATGCTTCACTTTTTATTCACAGTTTTATTTATTTTTTTAAAAAAAAAAGCTTACCTTTTATAACAACCCAAATATAAGATAACGCCAGAAATGAATGATTTATTTATTTATTATTACGTTTGTGAAAAAAGGATAAAAAAATTTGTAGGAAGATAAGGAAGACTAAAACATACTTTTAGAAAACGAAGATTGCCTTTTAACGAAAAGTAAGTTTTTTAAACTCTTTAGTATTTGTTTCATTGTAAGGTGATTGTACAGTAATATGCGGATATACGGCCTCCAAACCGTGTGTGGTAATGCTGACAGAGATAGTGAAGGTTCATATTATCCTACTTGCAAAACTGAGAAACACCTGTATTAAACGACCTTCTCTCCCTTAGCGAATACTAAATTAGTAAATAACTCTATTGTTTTACTTCAAGGTTTAGGACAAACAGTTCCTTCACGATCGATTACTCCTTTTCGATCTATTGTTTATATTTAATATAAAAACTAAATAGATACTAATGTTAATGTTAATTTAAATTAATAAAATACAAATTAATTTTCAACTTCAGAATAATAATATTCAATGTCTTGCATTGGGAAATTAAAGAATTTTTCACAAGCCTTCCGTAAATATTCATGTATCACGTGGCTCATTTGGCAATTCCTTGTATCGAAATTTGTAATCATTTTTGGGGATCCTTATCCTATACCCCCGGTGTAGATTAGTTCAAAATTATGTAATATACGATTATGACATTTATATATTTGGGGTCATTCAAAATATTTTTTAAATAATAGTCAGCTATATATTTATGATTTTCTCGTAATGGGTTAAGATTTTCGTTCTTTTTGCCATAATTCTTTGATATTCTATCAATATTTAACACAAATATAAGAATTAGGGACAACATTGCAAATTCTAATTTAGTCCGTGTCGCTTGGCACTTTTGGCGTATCTCGTTTTAAATAAACTTGTATTTATATATAAATTTTAATAATGATTTTAATTTTTTTAACCTTGTAAACTTGTATTTTTAAACTAAATAAAAAACATTACTATGACAAATATTTTTATTTGCAAAAATTTCATTGTTTATTTTATTCGTGAATTACTCTTTATGTTCATAAGCACCGAAATTGGCAGTATCTTTCATAATTTTCCTATATTACCTTTATCCTGAGAAATCAATCGCAATGCAGTCTCAAGAACTAAAACTTCCTGCAAGAAGTCTACCGGTTTCTAAGGAGAAGCCAAATCGTATGTTAACAAATTGTTAAGCAAAAAAAGTTTGAATAACTATTGATTTTTTTATAAATAATGTTAAGAAGTTCATCTTTAATTTGAATTATCCGAGTTTAGTAATTCAAAATTAATTTCCATAGGATAGCCCTTTTGAATGCCATCGGGAACGATTGTTGTTTCTGCATAGTGAATTTTACAAAATAATGAGCGGTCTTCATGTGTAGGTTTTCCTAATATAAAAATATATATCATTTACAATCAGAATTTATTGCAAAGTAGTTTAATTATTCAAAAATAAAAATATTTTTTACCATTTTGTTTTCCGATTTTACTTAATAAAAGACGAATTTTTAATGGAAGAGGATAGGGTAAGAATTCTTTACAAAATGGACATCTATTACCTATTAAATATTAAATTTTATAATTAATAATGTAATAATTTTGCAAATATTTTTCACGGGTTCCTTGATCAGAAATTCCGTGGGATAAACCAGTTTACGCCGAATAACTGTTACAAATATAATAAAAGCGAACCTGAGGAAGAAGGCGATGTTATTTCGGATAATTTTCTTTTCCGGAATTATTTTCTATTTAATATATAATAAATGTTTAATTAATTCATATATTATGGATCTTTGCCATCAGTTGCTAGAAAATTATATGTTTAAGATGTACCTTGAAAATTATTTGCTTCAAATTTTCAACTTCATCAGTTCGAGATGTATTTTGTTGATATAATATTAACGCATTTCAAGATTGCTTCTAATTCTTTTTTTTTGAAACGCGTTCTTATAATTTTATTTAAAATAAATGAAATAAATAAAATAAATTAATATGTTAATACATTAATAAATAAATAAATTTATACTTTACAAAAAAATATTACCTTTTGACTTTATAACCGTTGGAATTTTTAATTGAATTATTTTGAGATTTTTTTTCCGAAGTATAAAAAGAAATTTCTTCTTTTACCGATTTATCAAGCAAAATATAAAAAATTTTTGCTGTATTAGGTTTGGCATTTACTATTTGCTGAACCTTATACCAAATCCGATTTAAAAGATATTCATAGTCGGTGCATTAGAAACTTATCGTCATTAAGTAAAACAATTTTACATTAATAAACAACCTTCATTATTATTTAGATAAAAACTGGCTCATCCGAAGATTCTTTATCTGATCCTAAGGCTATAAATAAATGATGGTTTAGGACATTCTTCAGAGGATTATTATCTAACTATCGTTATTAATGCGTTAATGTAAAATTTTCGAGATGCTACTTTGAATGCTTTAGTCAAGGCTGTCATGTTTATTCCCAAGACTTAAGGCTTGAAATACGTTCCTTTCTTATCACAGGTAAGTATTCATCATAATTATGTTAACGATACAGTTAACCAAATTTGCGCAATTTCTTTTCGATATAGATCCTTATGCGTCATGCATACATGCCCTAGTGTAATGCTTGAAATTTATTTCCAGTAATTTTGTATCATAAACAGCCAGCACACCAGGAATTATCTCTCTGATACTTTTGCCGTTTTTTGGAATAAAAGTTCTACAATTCAGATTACAATGATGATCCGGTCAAACAAATCACTATATCCATTGAGTGTTATTGCCTATAATGTTACAGATACATACATGCACTTGTAGTGTTTGGCACCAATATTGAGGAATATATGCATCTCGCTTTTTGGGAATGAAATGCACCAGCAGTTCAAAATATTGAAAAATGTGAATTTTTCGGATCATACATCCAAGAATAATTCACCCATTGGCACGTAAATTGGCAATCCCATATATGGATTTGAAGATTGCTACATAGACGCACTTGTCATTCAACTAGAATCAGATTATGCTTTATTCATTCAATTATAGATAAAGTAATATCATTTCTTGCTGCTTTTAGTAAAATTTTAGTCATCATTCTTTAAAAGTTTTCGAAATCAAACGTATTCAACACTCTGATTACGATTACGAGATGCTTGTTTTGTTTTCCATAAAGGAGAACCATTACCTGTAAGCAAAGAAAGGTACACATTCCTATTTCATTAGCAATACAACATGCTGAATATGTTCAATTATATTAATTTTTAAGAGGTCTCATGAGTATAGAATTACTTAAAGCATTCCATCCATGCTCTTGAGCATGTCCTAGTTTGGCCGGTGTATACCATCAGCTCGCAAGTAAATTATTTAATGCAGGATTTATATCTTGTTGGCTTGAATTATATTATCGTTATGTTATTTTATTTTTCATTGGTTTTCGATTAATGATCTTCTCTAATTTCTTTAATGTATGCAATGGGAGCACTAAATATCCATGCGGAAATTTTTTGAAGCATTTTAAGTTTTGTTGAATTTATGGAGAATTATGATGAGCCTATTCCTATTGATATAAGATTGCTTAGTAATCACGCTGAAAATTGTCAAGGTCCTTCATTACAAATAATTTAAACTCTTAGGTGTTTATTATATTTCTTTTATTACTTTTAGCCATTATTTAGGTATGTCAATTTTTTTTTTGTTTTTTTTTTATATTAGTATTTATTTATCTAACTAATGATTTGAATTATTCCTTTTTTTCACTTATAGATTTTTTTCAAGAATTTAAGATCGTGATTTTTATATTTCTTATTTTCTTTTGTATTATTTTATGTATAAAGGAAAATTTCTCTGATTGTTTGGTTTAAATATTAAAATTAACATTAAATAAATGATATATTGAATTATTCCAGTTAACTTTTGCGATATCATTCATTATATTACAGAAATGGATGTCAGTCAGTTGTTGACTAATCATTAACCCTCCGCTATTGGAACATTGCAACTATAATATAATGGGAAAAATAAAAGTAAATGTTACTTATGTTACATTAACTTTCAAATAAGTCAGCTTGGAGAGAAATGACCAGGTCATTCAGAGGCAATTTCAAAATGACCTGGAATTTTGAAGCAGCTGTTCAATTGGATACATATTTTGATTTTAACCTTTTTTTTACAAATTTACATCACGTGAAATATTTATTTCACATTTTTGGAAAGCTGGGTCCGTCAATTTTATATAAATTTCAGATGGTCAAATGAGGTGCGTCAGATATGAAACCAGTCATTCAAAGTTTGCTTGTTTTAAAGATCCGATTACATAATTACATAAATAAATGACATAATTTTTGTAAAATGCAACTGTCAAAATACCATTTATAGGCAATTTTACCAATTTTCTCTAACGTTTTAGATTTCCTTCCCTTTCTACTTTCAAACTTACTTCCTCAATAAAGAAATTTAATATTAAATACAAAACTATGGTTAAACGACGTCCTAGTAAAAGGTAGTAAATTAAAATCAAAAGAAAGACTCGAAATAATTCAAAAATTTTGTAAAAGAAAAGCGCGAAATGTTCACTCCTAGAATCATAAAAGAACACAGTGAAGAAAACGAAGAAAAAGAACAATCAATATTCGATCTGGCGTATAGTTGCCTGGCAAAACTCATTTTAACAAATGGCAAAAGTCGAAACCCTATATTTCGACGGATTTGTTAATAAGTATTTAATATAGTTTTGAATTTTGACGGGATTTTATTATGGTTGCCAATGACCCCGTCGAAACCCGAGAGTTTTGCCAGGCAACTATAATTTGGCGGAAAGTACTTTACAACTTACAAATGATTTAAGTGATTTTAAAGAAATAAAAAAACGGTTGGAAGGTAGCGCAGCGAGTTTGGAAGAAATGGAGTATCAATCGGAACAAAAGTATTTGGAGGATTTGGAAAAAAATCCTAGATGAACTCGGAGAAGTGTGAGTTTGTTTACCTATTGAATAGAAATTCCCACCTTTCTTTCTTTTTAATATTTTGCGTATCAAAATAACGTACCACCAAATTTCTTTTTTTTTAAAATTTTTTATATCAAAATAGTTTATTATCTTTTGCACTTCAATTTCTACTAAAACTTTAAAAATCGCAATTTGCGACCAATTAAAGATTTGTGAATAATAATGAGTGGTAGAGACCTGCATAAGTCCAAATTTTGAAACCTGGCCCGGCCTGGAAAATTCTAAAATTATATTTGCTGGCCCGTTTCAGGCCTCTAGTGAGTGATATACTGTGGTGCTGTAAGAGTGAAATATCTAAATTCATTAAATCTATGAGTCCTATTCAACTTTTTGTGTTCACGAAAGTGAGTCGGTCAGTTTATTCAACAAAAGCGAATGAGGAGGAGCAAGAAAGTATAGATTTATCAGAGACAGAGGCACACGCCAGAGAAATCGACAATCAACTAGAGGTTCGTGTTCTCTGTATATACGTTTCATTCCTGATCCTATATATATAATATCACTCACAAATAAATCTACTACCGAAAAATCACAGCGCGAACATCCTCTGTGCCAAACTTACCCTTTAACAAACATCGAACTACTATATGTATTCGTTGATGATTCTAATATTTTAGTTGAAGGAAAGTACGTTGTTGCAGTTCTTGAAAATCTGGGTATATTTGACAGCAAAAAAATATTCCCTATGCTTTAATTGGTTTTGCATTGATATTGATCATGGTAAACTCCTTACAATGATCCAAGATAATCGTAGGTTGCGGTAATAGTCGGGTCATGTCCGCCACCCAATGATTCGCTTTGGAAACGTGTTTGGGATCAGGGATACAATGTATGGTATTCGAAAAGGAAGTTGGTGTAGCACTAGCGCATGCAATTGATGAAGTAATTTTCACCAAAAATCCTGGTATATTGGCGATAATCTCTGAAGATGATAGCTATTATCCAATAGTAACGACTGCCATCAAACGTAATTGGATAGTTGAAACTTGGTTCTGGAATTCGAGTAAGAAATGATTGTTGTGTTTAAAGCAAGTCGCATGAGTTATCAGACTGATGGATTTTGATTATCCTCCTTCATAGGAATGTCCGATAAACTTAAGAATAAGACAATTTTTACACCTTTAGATTATTACTATAAGTCATTCGCTTATGGTTTTGGACCCGACATCACAATGAACAATCGAATTCTTGAGGTTACTGGTCATACATTTCGGAGATGGGAGAACAAAGAAATGATGGATGTATTCATTCCTTTAAACGTATTCGGTTGTGGAACCGGATAAATGATGAGTCATTTACTTGTATTTTAATAAAAACACGCAGTTGCAATTAGTAAAGCGTTGGATAGAAAATAGTCCATATGAATTACAAGTTCGGGAAAAAGGTTTCTAATTTCGTAAGGCATTATATACTTTGGGTCTGTTAAAATTCTTTGACATAGAATAGATTATTACGGGAAAACGTGATTAGGTTGTGGTAAATGTTAACAGATCTCGGGCTAGGAAAAATCGGGGACATTTTTCCTTTCCACATTTACAAATTTTTTACATGTAAAATTTTCTCTATTCTTGCATATATACTCTTTATTCATAAAAAAAGAAAATTCTTAATAAAACAGCTTTATAAAATCAGAATATTTTTTCAATGGTGGAGTCGTGGGGTATTTTTTTAGGAAATCGGTCGTGCTTATATATTCATCTGTTAATATGCATTTCGGGTAAAATCCAGGTATAAGGGAAGGATTCTCTGATTTTATAGTGACCATTCCGTAATTACATATTAACGACCTTTTTTTTCTAGCTAATTGTTTACAGGATCCATAATTCGAAACAATTACGCCGGAATTTCCTTATGTGATCGCAAATTCCGAATTCGTTTCTTGAAATGCTACAAAGCAGAAGCGGAAAATTAGTTCCCAAGTTGATCTGTCAAATTATCCGCCACAGTAGTCATAGTATTATTTCTCGAACGTTCCCGCAAATATCGGTCCATATGTAAAGGGTCATTGATCCAGATTTTCGTGATACGATCATACTCGCCGATTCCAAGATCACCTATATAAATATAAAAAGGAGGTAAGTTTTACTAGTTGATCCTTTTTATCCGCTTCATTAAAGTAAAAAAAAATGAACGAAAATAACGAATAATAAAATCAAACTTCATCACTCTAATCGAAATTTCCGCCTTTTGGATGTTCCAGACAAGTATTTCGAACATATTTCTTTTCTTGAAATTCACTAAGAAAATGAACATCTATTAATATTACTATTATTTATTTAATATATTTTATATTACTTTTTTTGTTAAAAAAATTAAAAATATACAGTAAATTAGCTACACCTATTCTGAAGCAAGGATTTATTTATTTTATATTATTCTTTTAATTTTTTTGAATTTATCTTTATATCATTTGCATATTATTTTAGATTATTATTTTAAATTATTTGATTTACTTTAAGAAACAATTTATTCATCGCAAGTGTGCGATGAATCGTCTCCCTTTTGTCACCCGTGTCACACTTCTCCCTTTTTCATTTTTCATATATATTCTGAGAACATAATTTTTTTTTGTTGTAAATAATCTATTCTTCACCCCGCGTTAAATGTCACATGTATTAATTTTGCCCTGCATTACATAATTTTGCCCCGAGGCGATGCATCCCACGTGCGATGGATAAATTTACTCTTTAATTATGTATTTAAAAAAATTTCAATTTAAGTTTTGCTATCTTTTAATTTCTATTTATATGCGAAGGCAAATAAATTATAAGAAATTTTAATTAGCCAATTTATCAAGATTTTTGAGACCTTAGTAATGATTTCTTTAGAAAAAATTTTTTTGATTGAAATTTCTAGATTTTTCTTTGATGACGACGCGACGAGAAAACATTTTTAATTTTAATAAAATAAATTAAAATTAAAATTAGTGTAAAACAGATAAATTAATTATATAAACAATTTTAAGTTTTTTTTTTTAAATGTCACCATCCATTATCAACTGGAAAGATTGTAATATTTAATTGAGTATATAAATCAATGTAAATACCAAACGTATAAGGAAAGCACGTCGCTTTGTGAACGAACTCATAATTGGGTGATAAACTAGTTCGAAGCGTATCATAATGTACTTCTTTAACATATTCCTAGGTGAATTCGACCAAACGCTGCTGTCTTTACCTTTTTCATTTACGGCCTGAATTTCCACATTCGTGTTTATTTTTAGCGAAGACATGTGACCAAATACTTCATATGTAAATAAAGATTTGCTTTTTATGCATTAAAAAGATTTGTCTTGCCAATTTTTCAATGAAGCTTCTAAAAGCTAGTTTTGTCAAAAAAATACCAATTCAAGCAATTAAAAGTTTTTAAGAATATTCAGATGAATCTGTATTGACAAATATTTTTCAAAAATTTTTTTTACTAATGATATAAAGGCTTAGATGATAGAATTTCCTAATTTAGCAAAAAAATTCCTGATGACATAATTTAAAACTAAAGCAATTTAGATAAATAGAGTAAGTATCTAACTCCCTCTCAAAAACTTCAAAAATTTTATCTTCAGTGTTATAATTTATCTAATTGGACATATAAACTTATATATGTCTCATTAAATCAAATGTCTTCTTATTCTGAACGCCGATCAATAAAAAGTCAAGAGAAAATATTTGACAACCTAAAGAACAAACAGAATATAGTTTGAAATCTTTAAGAAAAATATGTAAATATTAGTACGAAGCGACATGAAATAAGTATATTGATGTAAGATTTTTATATATAGAACTAGATTTAAACAAATAAGAATTTAATAACAACCAAATTAAACAAGTAATTATATATAATAAATTAATATAAATAATAAAACAAAAATACGTTTGGAAGCATATCCGTGTTTGTAAAAGTTTTAAATTTGTCAATTGGTATCAGTAAAAAAAGATCTTTTGCCAAATCAAAATAGGAAACATTGACAAAATTGTTTATTTAAAATGTAATGAAATAAATAAAAACCCATTTTTTAAAATTTTCTATCTTTAATTATAACATTTATTTCTCAAATATTTGCTTATGCCTTATTTGATGTATAAAATGTTGAGAATGGTGAACCATTTAAATTTTCTTCTTTGATATTCATACGGCAACTAAAATCTATTATTAGCTGGACTTCTTTAATTACTGCAATATAATGAGGAAGCTTATTTAGATCTTTATGAGTTAATTTTTGATCGCGTGAAAATTTGAAATCAATTTCTTTCAAAAGAAGTTTATTTGCTTCGGGGTAAAGAGCCAAACATCAATTGATAACATCATTTGCTTCTATAAAGTTACCAACGTTAGCTTCATCAGTCATCGGCTTCATATTAGTTTCATTGACAAATTGCACCTGTCGGTGATAGTGTTGTACTGCGCCTCAAGTGAGGTGATAGTAATGAAAGTAATACATATCAACTTTAGCAACTTTTGTCACTTAACATATTTTATCTCTTTATTTTAAAAGGCGTAGTTTAGTATTAGTCTAGAAGTTTATATAAATAAACATCTAAGTTGATCTTAGTCGACAGAGTTTGGAATTAGACTTATAACTCTAAAGCTTAATAAAGAAACTATTTTACACTTTTAACCTTCTACTTGTCTTCATACAAGGATTTGATTGTGATATGAAACAAATTCAAGAAACCATTGAGAAAAATATAATACCATCGTCAAAAATTTCATTCAATAACCTTCCATTTCTTTAAAACTTCTTTAATATACGCTATGAATTGCTTTATGACTTTTGGCCATAACATCGCGAATAAAATTTACAATAGTATTGCGCCCGCGTATTATTATATAACAATCCTTTTTGTCCGTACGATCAAATTCTTCCAATCCATCATTTGGAGTTGTGCTAAAATGAAATAACATGTTGTAATTTCGTTGTATATATGTTTTCTAATAAAATCTACTCTTCCCAATCAGATTCCTCTTGTTTAATTACTCGGATTTCCAAGGTCGAATTCCCAAATGTGCCATATTTACTTGATACACCGACTTTTTGTATCTCCAGAATAATGTTGCAAATACCGATGAATGTAAGTTGAATAGGACCGGAAATTAAGTTTAAACAAGTGAAATGTTAGAAATAAAATTGGGTTATATATTTAATCAGTCCTATTCCCACGCTATAATATGCTCACAAAATTGTTGAAAAGAAGTTCTTAAGGGAGGAAAATTATGTGAGTATATGAAGATTCACTATTTATTTATTTATTTTACTCTTTTTTTTATTTACGTTTTTTTTTAAAAAAAAAAAAATATATTTCGTTTTTTAATAATAAAATTATAAGTATAAATAGGTCAATAAA